CCCCCAGTCTCACCAAGCAGTCCCACTTCACCCCCACCCCATGCTTTCCCCCTTTCCTGGGACACTTGCCATAGCCACACAGAGTCACTGTGGTTGACTGGGACTCCCTTAGATTTACATGACTATAACACACATTCTAATGAAAACAGTAGGCATTATTTAAATTGTAGAAAGCCAAGGGCGGAAGAATTCAAGGTCATTTTGACTTACTGTTTTGATGCCTGCAATCTGGCTGGCTAGAGATGCACTGTGTCACTTTTGTTTGGTGAGTGATTTGGGACAGGATATTCCCTCAGCAGTGACACACCGTTGCTTTGACAGATTTATTTTGAACTGACATTTTGACAAGTAACTGGTGGTAACCTTCCTTCAGCCAGCAGTTAACCGCTGTCCTAACATACCTATCCTGAAACAATGCAACACCTAACCTGCTGAGTTGACCATTCAAAGTCCAGATCACACTTGCAGATCATCCTTTTTCACCAGTACTGCCCCCAATGCCAGTCCTCCAAGAGAGGATAACCCTTAGAGGTCTCTTCCTCTGAACAAAGCTGCCTTCACTCAGGCCGCCCTCTTCGTGTGGATTGGTACAGCTTGGGAATAACAACCCATGGGCTCCTGCAGAGAAGTCTTCCAATGGAAGCTCAGGCCCCAGGAATTGTGCTCCTCAAGCATGACTGGTCAGGACCGAACTCTTGGCGACTGCCTTCTGACTGGGACAACCCTTCCATTGTTAATTGACCTTTGAGCTGTTTACTTTTCAGGGTGACCGGCTTTCCTTTTCCTTCATAGAGGTTCTCTCCCTGACACTGAGTTTGGGCTTATGACTTTAATTAGACTCCTTGGTAGGGCCAGGAGGATGATAAGTAATGAAGGGAGGAAATTCAATTTTCCAAACCCAGAGAAAAAGGAAAATATTAATTTGGGGGAATTATGTGTATGTGTGGAAGAACCTGAAAAGTATTAAAAATAGAAGCACTGACTGAAAAGGAGGCAGGTGTGGGGACCTAAAGCAGCTACACCAAGGAGCAATACCTGCTGAGTCTTTGCCACGACTCTTGGTGGAGGCACTTTGGTCACTGGATGTGGCCTTGAGAGAGAGACAGCCAGGGTAGGGAAGGGTGGGATCCGGACATTGATATATATACTTGCTTCTCCTTTTACAAAGAGATTCCAGGCAGGCGGTGGTGGTGCACACTTTTAATCCCAGCACTTGGGACTACAGTGGTCTACTGTGGCCAGCCTGGTCTACAGGGAGAGTTACCAGACAGCCAGGGCTGTTAACACAGAGAAACCCTGTCTTGAAAAAAACAAAAAAAAAAAAAAAAAAAAAAAAAAAAAAAAAAAAAAAAAAAGGAGATTCCATCCCCAATAAACCCACTGTCATAAATTGAAAATATCGTAAGTTGGGAACACATTTGATCTACCAAGCTGACCAGAAAACATAGCCTAGGGACACAGTTGTTCACTGTAGGGTGCTGAATTCCTTTTATGATGGTGGGGCTGGGAGTGAGCGGCAGCTCTTGCTGTCTCTTACTGCTTCATATCGAGACAGTCCGGCACCTGAAGGAAAAGCCCAGGAAAAGGTCCAAATTCCCGGTCCAAAGTGCAGTTCCTACTCAATGAACTTGACTCTTGCTGCATAGGAAAGTTGAAAACCCAAACGTCAAAACCATCCTAAGTCTGAGACTGCCTGTGCTGTACGGTTGAGTCCAGTGTCCATTATTTGGGAAGAGAATGGGTTCCAGGCTCCTGGGAAGAGGACAGGTTCCAGGTTCTTCCCTCAAGCAGAGCCCAAAGGCACACATCCATGACACCACAGTTACAACGTTCACTTCTACTTGAAGGAATTAGCATCGTGAACAGTAGCTATAATTTGTTGAATGGCAAACAACATTTTGAGTTCTTTAAATCCATTACCTCATTTTATACGGAGAAAATGTCCATGGAGGGTGGGAGGGAAAAATAACCATGCTCATTTTATAGAGAAATAGGCTGAGATATATGAACAAGCACATTCCTCCTTGTTATTGTTTTCCCTTTTGAAACAGGATCTCAGGCTATCCTTGGCTACATTATCTACCTCAAAATAGCCTCAAAATGTAAATCCTTCTGCCTCAGCATCCAGAGTGCTGGCTATGCTCCAATCTTAAATGACATGAAGTAATTGTGTTTCCTGTTTGCCTTTCTTGCCATTTTCTTGCTAACAACAACTTAGAGATGCCCCACCGCTTTTAAACAGGTCTGGAGCAGCATAGTCATGTCACACAGTGACAGCAGACTAAGAACTGAACAACAGTATCTCCTATAAATCCAAAAGTTCCGTAGGTTTGGCATTTTAAAATCGTTCTTCAGAACACATTTCCAATGCTATAACCTGGCAAAGGCTGTTGCTTGCAATGAGGTTTCAATTACATGGAAATGATATGTGTGAATGGCCTAAATCTTGCTTGGTCTGGTCATCTACTTCCTGTGGTTCCTGCGAGAGGCACACACAGCATGGATGATGGCCAGGGGCAATAAGGCCTTTTCTTCTCTTAGGAACCTCTAACTCTAGTGCAGGGTCACCTGGTGACCCTGTGGGGGCACAGGA